GATTTGGTTCTCAAGAAGATTATGATACCTCTCCTAGATTCACGTGGTAAATTGACACCCAACTACAAAGGTTCATATGTGGTTAAAACAACACACTCGGGTGGAGGTCTTATCCTCACAACAATGGACGGTGAAGAACTACCACATCCGACGAACTCCGATGCAGTCAAAAAATATTATGTATAAAAGGCTCGCTAAGTCGAAACCTTAAACAGGCGACTTAGGCACCTACTGGGTTCGAAAGTATTTTTATAAGAGAAAATATTTTCAGCTTTCTGAAGGTTTAAATGGTGCATCAAATGGACACCTGAATCAAAAGTTATGGATTTTTAAAGTTTTTGAAAATAATTTTGCTACAGTGCTGCTTCGCCCGTACATTTTCCTAGAGCACCCAATTTCTGCCACTTCCTTCGCCCGATCCCTTGCCCAGCGATGCAAGAGGCTCTCTTGGCAAAGCATTCCTGACAGTAACATTATTGTCACGATTCTTGCACTAAACAAGTCTCAAATGCACATGATTTCACATCAAAACAATTCCCAATCTACCAAATATCAACATTTTATCATACCATAACAACAACGCACCATCATACATGTTATAGGCATTAATTCATATGAATCACACACTTTAAATTCATCAATTTCATCATACCAACAAATTATCATAAAACCCCAAACAACCTAAAATCCTTATCAATAGTGACATACAAATTAACCCCCACATAGTTATCATTACACAATCCCTTAGATAGTTGGAACCCCACCCTTACGTTGGATTGTAGGTTCCTAAGCTTCAACAATGGCTCTTCTTTTGCCCTAGCTATTCTTACTCCTCTGCTTCTGCTTCTTCTCAGAGTATGATCATTCCAACAATACGATTCACTCTCTAACTTTTCTTTCTTACCCCTTGGACCCTTAATATGGTATTCTTATTCTTATCCTTACTTACTCTACTCAACATTACCATGATGCCCTCAATATCTCTACTCATATTATCTAATTTAATTATTAAATAAATCCTACACAATTATTCTAAAATCCAAATAATTCCAACTAAATCATCTAAATTACAGAATAATTCTCATTACTACTTTAATCCGACATTATCCTATATATAACATCATCAAATCATCTATTGTACCAAATAAATCACAACAAAGTGCTCATCAATGCCTAAAATGCACATCAAATGATTAATCTATAAAAAAATAATAAAGTAAATAATCGGGGTGTTACAACTCTTCTTTATGCTTTTCTAGTGTCGGTGTCTGCTCTGATATGTAACACTAGGGGGAGAATGCTTGTTTTGTTTCTTTATGTTGGAAAGAATTATCTTGTGAATTGTTTATGTTGGTTAATCACTGGAATTACTATGTTTCATATTTTTGCACTAAATTGGTATAACATGTTACGTTAGTGTTGTTGTTTTTTTTCGTTGCCAATAAAATAAGTGAAATTCAGACTATGTTATATGTTGTTTATACTTTCTACAAGCATGTGTTACATATTCTATGTGTGAGCAATGATGATGTAAGATAGCATCCTAAATGTTTTCATAAGTTTTAAAAATTACTCTGAATATTATTATTATTATAAATTATGTCAGGGAAATTTAGGGAGTTAGAGGAAGGCCCCCACAAAAATTTCTTGATTGGGATGCGAAACCTTTATGGTTTCCTCATTGAACCGCGCCATGTATTCATGGAGGGCCTCGGAGGGGCCCTGGCGTGCATTGAATAGATTGGTGTTAGACACCTTCTTCTTACTAGCCATGAAATGTTACACCATCTTCTGGGTTAAGTATTGGTAACCGATAACTGAAAATCTTGGTAGACTCATGTACCAGCGCAAAGCTACGTCTTTGAACGCTCATTCCATGAGCTTGCACTTCAGGGAATTCAAAGCGTCGTCTGTTTCCATTTGATTATTGATGGAGATGATATGCTCTTGTGGATCACTCTTGCCATCAAAGTTTTTCGGGACCAAATCATCCCATTGCTTATGCCATAGATTAAGGGTCCAATATCTCCTCTTCTTCCTCCCATATGACTAGCTCTGAATTTAGAGCCTTTGGACACTATCTTGCAGTGTCTCATTCTGCTGTCCTACAGTCTCCATGATTGCCAACAATAATGCCATGTTTGGTGGAGGAGACGGGCCACTCCTGCTGGGTGATGATCCATACATTTTTTAGTAATGTGAGTCTTAGGATTAATGTTTGTCCTGGGAAAGTTTTACCTAAACCCCACGGTCGGTGCTAAATGTTTCTAACTAACACTTTTGGATTATCTCCTCAAAGCTAATCCGACGAGACCACAGTACTTGACAGTTTATGTTCTTAGCTTTCTTGTGTTTTCATGTGTTGTGGATTAGTCCCTCTCCTTCATTATGAAAGACTCCCTTTTATACTTAAACCTTCAAGCCCTGCATTCATTAAGCATCGACCCTTCGACTCCAATAATCAAGAGGGGCTTCTAACTCCCGCCGTCATAATCATGAAGCGTAACGTCCTCCTCATCAATTTTCGTAACTTCCCCACGGACTTTGGATCATTATAACTGTTGTACTAACTTGTCACATCGGTTGTCTGACCATCTCTATTGTCCATATGTTCGGCTTTACGTATCGGCATGCCTTATTCATTTTGTGCGAATACCAGGTCGTCTGTCAGTTTCATTTAACGCTCTTTCCATATTCGAGTTTCAACCAGTCCCTAAGAATTCCAGGGTGTACATTTTTCAACATCTACATAAACGCTCGGTACCTCGACATCACCTGATTTAACATCCATAGACATAGTAGGTATGGGGACAACGCGAGGGTGCATCATAGCTATAATCAATCATAACACAAGTAAATTAAAATTCTACATGAAAACAATTTACTTTATTTTCCGGAACAATATGCAACATGATATGGATTTTAAAATCCGGATACAATGTTTGTTTTTCAACAGAAAAACTAGATTTTTACAAGAAATGATGAAGGAGATACATGTACATTACCTTAAATTACAACTTCTTTTGCTTCTTTTTATGTGAAAAAATGTTATTTTAAAGTACAAAATTTGATTGAGAATGGACGTAGATTTTAAAAAGATTTTGCAAGTACGGTGATATAATCACGAAAGAAAGAATATATCAACGTGATGTTATATTCAATTTTTCGCCTGATATTTCTGGATTTCAATATTTGAATTGTATCAAGAGTTCAAACTCCGGACATATTTTTGACAAAATAGAGACGGATAAAAGATAATGTGGTTTGGTGCGTAATAGACGCGTCCAAATTTTGAAATCCATATTGTATTAAAAGACATTTTGAAGTTTCGTAAGAGTGACTATTCACCGCTAAGAGTAAGGGAGAGAAGCACAACCCCTTATTAATAGGAAAAAAAACTCTAAGCCATTCTCTAACTCATTATGCTAATATCTCCAATGATATGGTTTGGATTGAAGAGTTTTCTAATAGTATTCAAGTTCAGTCTATTTTGGAAATTGGTTCTTGCTAATTGACATCTCAATTTAGTTTCCGAAAAACAAAAGACCAATACTCTGTGATGTTAAGCATTTCGAGTCATATTCAATTCAATTTAGTTTTCTAATAGAATTCAATGGGATATCATGTCATAACAGAGTAAAAATTAAAAGAAAGTGTGTGGCAACACAACACAAGTGCATATTCAAAAAGTGATATCGTGATATTTTTCTAAGATAGACAAATATTAGTTGGTTATTGAGCAATGTTATTCTCACTCCATTTCTACCCCCAAATACTTACACATAATGCATTGTTTGTTGTATCTATATAGTGTTTTTCTTAAATAAATAAAATAAATATATATATATATATATATATATATATATATATATATATATATATATATATATATATATATATATATATATATATATATATATATATATATATATATATATATATATATATATATATATATATATATATATATATATATATATATATATATATATATATATATATATATATATATATATATATATATATATATATATATATATATATATATATATATATATATATATATATATATATATATATATATATATATATATATATATATATATATATATATATATATATATATATATATATATATAAAAACAGTGGCGTGAATAGTACATGAACAAATCTATAAAAATCATGAACAATGTCCATAAATATTGTCTAAACTGTTTTAGTAGTAAAACGTTGATTAATACGGTAAATGAACAATAATTTTAATTGTGTAAAATAAAATTAATTAATATATTATAAAAAATTAGTTAATAAAATGATAAAATTAATTAATATATTATAAAAAATTAGTTAATAAAATGATAAAATTAATTAATAAATGTTCAGATATTAAAAATGATTTTTAATAATAAAACAAAATTAGTTGATAAAATGGAAAAAAATTGTTAATAAAATAATGAAGTTAGTCAATAAACCCCAAAATTTAAAAATAACTTTTTAAACGAAATGTAAATTATTAATTAATAAAATTATGAAATTGATTAATCACACATTTTTATATAAATATTCCTTAATCTAAAAAATAAAAATAAAATAATTTATATATTTTTAAAAAAAAAATTTGTTATTATAATATTTTACGGTGAACCGTATTGGTAAAAAGTGAAATACGATGTAGGGTAAAATTTTGGTGTATGAATATCATTTCTTTTACTTATTAGAACAATATTTTCTTCTTCAACAATATTTGAATCAGTATCCCTCAAACTCCATCAACCCTTAACAAACTTAAGTCAAATAACATATTGTTGAGTTACAAAAAAATCCTTAAGTTTAAAGGAATTAAAAACACATGAACCAATAAAAGATATTTAATTTGATATTAAGGAACATTTATCAAGGGATATAATTCATTATGATAAACTGTGCAGATTTTTAGCATAACTACCTCATAAAACCTTAATATGAGAAGCAAAACAACATGTAACTTTACAGTTTGAGATCTATAGTTTGGACTGTTTCTTGGAACTTCTTCCTGCTATGAATTCCTGCATTTTCTTGAATTGATCCTTGGTCATTCCATTATAATAATCATGGCCCCTCTCCTACATTTCGTACACAAGTAGAGAACTCATCAAAATCATATAAACATAGTTTCAACTGCTCAATTCAATACTCAAATGCAAAATTAAGGATGAAGATATGCAAAACAATGCTTACAAGTCTTGTTGTTAACTAGAGTCGTTATAGCTGGAACATATACAGTGAACTATAGATATTGGCTCTAAGCTCCTGTATTTTTATCTAGGTTTTAAAAAACAATTTGTAACTGCAAAAACGGCCAAGACAAAACAGTATCGATATCGTAATTCACTGTTTTTCTATTGAAAAGAAACTGTAGTTAATTCATGCTGTTACGATCACAATCAGTATCGCAACACATGTACTAACCGAAATCGTGAAAGCCTTTACGCCACCAGAACGCGACCACGACCCTTATTTAAAACCTAGTTTGTGCAAATGTGAGTTGTTAATATGTTATATTGATAGTCAGGTTGGAACATTGTGCTCATGCAAATCTATATGCCTATTGCCTAATTACAACTATAAAGCTCAAAAAATTGACATGAACTGATTAATGGCTGCACGCAATTGAAACATCCTTGGCACTCAATCAATAAGTTCTGAAATGCTTTAAGCATAATTTAATCCATATAGCAACATGAATCAAACTATACCATAATCATAATGTAAAATAATTGAAATTTGAATCCATATTATGCAATTTTAGGCTCACAAATGCTATAGCACTAACCTTTTCGAGAGAAAGAGCATGGCCAAGATCAAGCTTAATGCCATCATTTATCACTGATTTGTACTTCAACACCAAATCTTGATTATTTTTCACAATAGCTTCTGCAATTTCTTTGCTTTTCTTCATCAATTCACCCTCCTCAACAACATGGTTCACAAAACCCAACTTTTCAGCCACCTCTGCAGTCAAAGGCGTGGCCGTAAGAGAAACCTCCCGAGCTTTATTTACTCCTATAATACGGGAAAGCTTCTGAGACAAACCCCACGATGGGAATATCCCAAATCTGCATGTAACAAATAACACCAATGAGCAATCTAAAAAAATGTATGAAAAAAAATGATTAAAATAGAAAAGGAATTTTAGGAACCTAGCATGAGTGTCCATGAATTTGGCTCCCTTAGCCGCAACCAAAATATCACAAGCGAGCGCAATCTCGAAACCAGCAGTAACTGCAAATCCTTTGATCGCCCCAATTATCGGTTTCCGGCACCGCTCCATTTGCACGACCGGATCACTCTCCGGATCCTTAACATCACCCTTGAAAACATCCTCCGCCGCCGTGAGGTCAACGCCGGCACAGAATGATCGACCCGATCCGGTCAATATAATAACCCGAACCGATTCATCCCGGTCCAGGCTCTTGAAAGCCTGAGCCATGTCGACGTTCATCGCCCGAGTCAACGAGTTGAGAGCGTCGGGACGATTGATTGTGATCACCGCGATGCCGTTTGGTTCGCGGTTGACGAGTATGAGGTTCTCCGATGACGACCGATCCATTTCCGACCCGAATCGATTTTGTTCGGTTCAATTGGGATTTTGATCTTGATTTAGATGATTCGTTGGGATAGATTTTTAAATTAAAGAAACTACTATGACGATTGTGATGCAGTGGCTGAAGATAACGTGTATAGATTTGAAAATGACGTGTCTATATTTGTATTTATTCGGTTTATGGATATAAGGTTGAATAGAAGAACAATTATGGATGAGCTGAGTTTTTCAATTTTCAACGCAACTTTAAGAATTGTACATTTTCACTAGGGGCATGTCCGCTCTGCTCTGCTCCGCAAAAGTTATAAAAAAAAGAAGGATGGATATTAGCTAAGAATTTTTTACTAGGGCAGAAATAGCGATAGAAGTTTGTTGAAGTACAAAATTAAAAGGGTATTAGGCCAAGAGGAGAATGTTAAAACGGATCTGATCTTAGTATTGTCGAAAGCTTCGGATTAAGTAGAATTTTCAACCGAATGAATCAAATGGCTCAAAGAAAGGTCTCAAGGACTTAGCCAAATGTTATAGTAAAATTTCGGTGAAATCAAGTCGAAGGTGCGGGTAGTTGACACAAAGCAATTGACAAAACGGTTTCCAAGAACATGGGAAGTTGTTAAAAGCAGTTTTTTCATGAACTTAATATGTGACAGACTACGAATGATCGACCGTTTAGATAAAACCTATTTTTATATATGTCAAAATACTTATTTTGGTCTCTTAACTATATGTTATGGTTCAGTTTAGTCCCTTAACTTTTTTTTCGTGCCAAATTGGTCCCTTAAGTTTCAAAACGTAACAAAGAAGTCCTTTCGTCAGTTGGGCTCAAACGTCTGTTAACGTGGCTGGTAAGATGACATGTTATCTTCATCTTCTTTATATGTCTTCTTCACCATCGTCTTTACTCCAAATGCATTTTCTTCACCTACGCAAAATCTTCTCTGCTCCAGATGCGTTTTCATCTCCGTCTTCATATTGGTCAAGTCGTTTCGCTCCATTCTTCATGAATACGAAGCATTCTTCTTTGCAAACGAACCTCAAGAAATCTGAAAGTGTTGGGTCATGTGTATACAGTAGCTCGTGAATTGCACCACTTTGTTATTGTGGAGATAGCGTTGTTCTTTGTCGGGCAACCACTGAGAAGAATTATGGAAAGAAATTTTGGGTTATCATAATTACAAGGTAAGCCTTAATTTTTGTTTGGGTATGTTAAAAAATGGTAAACAGAGTTTGATCAATTTTTAAAATTTGCAGGGATCCTTGCAAAGAGGATGTGGTTTCTTCGATTGGTTTAATGAGGAATTGACAGAAGACATAAACCAAGTATTGATTAATAGATTGGAAAGCATAGCAAATGATTTAGATGAAACAAAGAATCAGTTCGAAAAATTGAGGGTTAAAAATGAAGAATTAGGGAATGTTGTGTTAGAACTTCAAATTCAACTGAATAAGATGTTGAAGCCGAAAAAACATTGAAGATTATGTGTTTTGTAATGTTATGTGTATTTGTCATTAAACTGTATTAGGAGTGTGTAGCAACCTTGTGTGTAATTTTAACACAGTTTATGTGTAATTCTAACACAGTTTATCAATTTATGAAGATTATGTGCAACTTTATATGTAATTTTAACACAGTTTATTAGTTTAATATGACTTACTTTGTTTGGTATATCATTAATTGTAGCAACATAATTTTGGACATTACTAGTAAATGAACACATCAAATTACTTGAACTGAAAATATGAAGTTGGCATGTTAAATAAATATGTTCCAAAATACATAGACATGTTACAAGACATGTTACAAGACATGTTCCAAAAGGTTGACAGAATGACATATTACATAGACATGTTCCAAAAGGTTGACAAAATGATATATTACATAGACATGTTCCAAAAGGTTGACAGAATGACATGTTACATAGATATGCTCAAAAATACATAAAGCCTAAAATTATAACTAGATGGTCCTCTTTGATGTGCTTATCTTGGTTAGAGTAGATCGCCTGGTGGTAGGACCAGTTACATTCTTGGCTGCTGAGAGTCTTGTTGTTGGTCCTGGGGGTACAAAGGGCCTTCTCACACCAAGTTTTTATAGCTTACCAGTTCCTCTTGCTTTCTCCTTTGTACCTTGTCCTAGTACTTCCTTTCCTTGTAAAGACTGAGTTGCATTCATGTATCCCTGTGTAGTTGATGCTTGTGTTGCTGCAACCTGACTTGCAGTGGTTTGAGATGCAGAAACTTATCTTGTCCCAATCTGACTTGCATTGGTCCCAACCTGATTTGCATTTCCTTGACTTGCATTTTCTTGTGTTGCATTACCTTGTGTTGCATTGTCTTGAGTTGCATTGCCTTGAGTTACTAGTGGTTTGGCTCTAGCTTCAACAATAACACTGTTAAAGTCCTCTGACATATTATTGAGCACATCATCACACTTGTTGGTTGTCCTAAAATAAGATCTAGACCAATATCTTGGTGGAGTCTTCATCATATGGAGATATGCTTCTCAACTGATCATTCTCATTGCCCTCATTTCTCTTTCCCAAGCTTGTGAGTATGTAAATTTAGCAGCCTTCCAGATAAGATCCTTATACGTTTTTCCAGGATACCTCTTCTTGAAAATGTTATACAGATGCCTAACACAAAATCGATGTTTAACATTAGGAAACAACTCTTCCATTGCAAGTAAAAGTCCCTGTAAAAAACATTCATAACTAATAGTAAATTATCAAGAAAATAATCAGATAAATGTAAGATTCAATGATGTATTTAGTGTACCTTCTGTTGGTCTGAAATGAAAGTGTATGAGAGACATTCATGTCCACCTCCCAGATCATCAATCAATAGCTTCAAAAACCATGTCAAGCTATCTCTATTTTCACCTTCAACAACTGCAAATGCTATAGGAAGTATCTGATCATTAGGATCCCTTCCTATAGCTTTCAGAATTTCACCTTTATAAAGCCCCTTCAAAAAGAAACCATCCAATCTTATCACATGCCTACATAATTTGAAAATTTCCTTGCACCCTTCGTAGCATATGTAAAGCCTTTTAAAAAATGGTCTCTGATCCTTAACACTTTCTGGAACAGCTTCAACATTCATCTTAACTGTTTACCCCGGATTGGCTATTAGCAGTTGTAATACAGTGGGAGAATTTACTTTTTTGGTTTTATCCAAATGTGCGGATAGCAAGAGTCGCCACCGAATTTTCTTTTATCCAAAAAGAAAAGGGTGAAAAGAACAGGAAAAACCTTTTTTGATTTTGAGTTCGGGGGGTAGGTTATGAAAAGGAAAGGTATTATCACCCTTTTCATCTGTATTTATCTACGGGCTCTTATTCGCTAGCTCACTTTGTTTTTTGAAAATGCTTTGTGTTTTATGTTTGAAAAATATTTTGAAGATGCCAGTTGTAAGGCAAGACTTTGTAATGATTCTCGTATCTGTCCTCGAGAATGCATATAAAGTGTTATTTTTTGAAAATATTTTTGAAAGTGTGATTGTTAAAGATGTTTTTGTTTTGAAATGTTTGTGAACAAGCAACTACGAGCGTTCTACCTACTCAAGGTATTTATTGTACTTTCCTCATTCTTTAGATAACGCTATCCTACCATTAGTTAGTAGGAAGCCCCATCGTTGGATGTGAAGGGACGGACATGGGTCATCATTCAGTCATAGAAGGCAACTCGTAGGGACGCTTTAGCAATTTCGTAAGGGACTATATCATTTACTGAAGGTAACATCGAAAGGGTCATCGAGGGACTATGATCTTTGATTTTGAGGGACAGTATTAAAGCGTCCTCACGTTCGAGGGACATGACTGTTTTTCGAAAGGCAACAAGGGGTGTTACCCTAGAGGTGCGAGTGTGCAGAGTGTGTTGTGATTCAGTTATTGTTTATCTTGCATTAGGGTTAGCTATCGTTTGCTTTTAATCTTTCCATACATGACCTAATTACTAACAGTAACAGTAACAAAAATAAGAAAGTGATAAATGTGCGGAAAGTAAAAGTAAAGAATAAAACCCTAGACTATTACATGGCTTTGGGAGAAGTGCAAAAATAATAACAGTACGGGAAATAAAACCCTAATTACTATTAAAAACTATGGGTAGTTACAATAATCGTAAAACACGCGATAAAAGAAAACTATGCTAATTATAAGACTAAGAAAAAGGAAAAGGAAATTGCTTTTGGTGATTTTTTTGATAAAAAGTGTTAATGATGATTAACCCTAAAAAAACCAAATTGATTTTAATTAATCAAAAAAGAAATTGATTAAGTTAAATTAAAACCTAAAACCTATATTGATTAATTAAATAAAAACCTAAAATCTAATTAGGGTTTTTTAAAAAAGGTTTTGGTTTGGTGAATTTAGGGTTTGTAAGTATAAAAATAAAGAAAACAAGGTTTTTAAAAAATATTTACCAGGGCTGGGTGTTGAACCTACACCCTCAGTAATTCCAACCAACATGTTCATCACTAGGCCGAGCGCCCTGGTGTCAAGGAATGGAAGCTAACGCCTTTTGTAATCTGCAAAACAAGTAAAATCATGAAAAATAACAAAATGCCAAAAGGTTGGGATCGAACCCACGTCTTGGCATAATAGTGTCTTATCGCGCGCGCTTCAACCACTGGGTGGTAATACATCTAATGTCTTTAATCAAGCAAAATGTATATAATATGAAATTGTTGTCTGAACCGGAAAGGCGCCGGAGCCCTAGCTCTGGTCGTCTTCTCCAGTAACTCCTTTTCACGACTCTGTAAAATAACAAAGATTAGCAATCCAAGAGCACCATACCCCCCTAAGTCGAGGCCTGGGAATTCATTGGGACGCTTAGTTTTGACTGAAACACCATGGTTTGGAAGGCATGATCCAAGCAACTCGGGTCGGTGAAAATATGGAAAATCATGATTCTGATAGCATGCATGTCAAACAATTAACTTTTCCGGCACATGGAGACCTTATGAACATATTAGCATGGTTTGTTTGTCTTAAAACGTAATGAAAA